AGTGTTCAGGCGTCAGAGAAAGAACGTGACGTACCTTGAGGGTTTGGTTCAGAGGAGTCGTCCTTCGCGAAAGCTACGCGCGCGGCCTGGACCCTTGCGGGTGAAGAGTCGCACGAGTAACCTTCCCCAGGAGCCGCCGCGTGGAGGCTGGACGTGGCCCCCTGGGTATCCGCGCGGCAATGGCCACTCCGTTGGCATTGAATCCGTGGGGGGTTCTACCTCGCGGACTCCGTGCGGCGGGGCGGCCAATGCTGCGCGGAAGCCCCCCTGGATCGCGAGCCTCCGCGTTGTGGTTGGAAGCTCGCCGACCAGGGCGCAGCTGTGCCTCGCCGAGACGTGCCCGTCATGCTCCCATGCCTCAGAAGGGCGAGAAGGCAAGCCTCTTGGAGTGGACAGTGCCGAAGCGGCAAACGAGGAGCACAGTGCGGGGGGAGCAAGAAGACAAGGGTGCTCGAGGAGGACGGCGTCCCCAGAGACGGACACCGTTGAGTGGGAGCGCTCCGCAGTATTCTCCGGGAGGCGAGAGCGGCTTGCAGCGGGGCGCAGAAGCATGCGTGCCAGGGGGAAGCATGCATCTCCGACGCGTCGGCGCGAGGTCCCAGAGGGAAGGCATGCGCATTGCCAACGTATCGGCTTGTCGACGCGGCAGTGAAGCCCCGAGTATTGCGAAATGCTAATGAGATGCAAGACTCGTGCACAGGAGATCGCCGAAACATCAGACACATACCTCAGCGCAGAAGAAGTAAGAGTGCGAAGGTGTGCGTGGAGGACAGCAGGTACCCGAAACCCGAAGTCGGAAACCCGAAACCAAACACCCGAAGCCCTAGACTCGAGATCCTAAACCCGAAACCCGAAACCGGAAACCGTAAACCCGAAGCTGGAACCTCCAATCTCGAAACCCGAAGCCCGCCGGAATCTAAGGAAACGTTTTCGGGTTCCCGGGGCCGCCAGGGCTCTCATGATGTCTCTTGATTTCTCTTAGATAGATCTCTGTCGAGATGTCCTGGAAAGGGGTTCCATAGTTCACTCTGTGCCATGCAGCGAGCGACCCATCCGTGGCGGGAGGTTCCCGCGCGCAGAGGCTTCAAAATGATGTCGATGATGACAAATTCTTTTCTTCAGCGGCAGTGTGCAGAGTGCGACCATGAGGGAAGTGGTCTGGTGGCATTGCTCAGCCAGATCGAAGCGCGAGGGCCATGGAGCACCCAGGGTCATGCTAGGCACTGTTACTCGAGGCAGGCCGCCACAGATACCCTGAGTGGTTTGAGCCGATGGCTACGGACGATATGAGTGCGGTCCCGTTCGAGATACGTGCTCGCATTAGGAAATGATACCCTGTGGCTTCTGCAGAGTGACATGTCCCGTGGAATCAGCAAGCCGAGGGGGCGCTGATGCATCGTTGTGAGATCAGCGCGCGCCGGCACGTGACAAGAGTAAAAGCGCCTCTGTCTTCCACAGGGTTCCGCTGAACCTTTTCCTGGTTGCCGCCGAGCCCTAGAGAGACCTTAGTTTCAAACCCGAACATCCGAAACGCAACCCCGAAACCCGAAAACCGAAGCCCGAAACCCTAAAGCCTATGCCCGATGCCGAAGCCCGAAGCTCGAAATCCGAAGCTCGAAACTCTAAGCCAGAAACCCGAAGCCCGAAACTTTAATCCGCAAGCACCAAACCCGAAGTCAAGCCCGAAGCCCTAAGCGCTAAGCGGTAAACCCAAAACCCGAAGCCCAAAACTCCAATCTCGAACCCCGAAAGTCGAAGCCCGAAACCCTAAACCCGAAACCCCCGAAACCCTAAGCCGGTGCACGGCTTGATGTGCAGTCGCGCGGCATACTGCATTGCACAAGGGAAGAGACACCACGCAGCACCGGGCAGCATGCTTTCATGCAAGAGATCGTGGGGCATGTACACAGCGGGGACGTCCTGCGTATCTTCACAAGAGTGAATGGCTGGCCCGCAGTGCTGGCCACGCATATGCTTGTGTCTGTCGTGCATGGCAGACGTACGAGCAGTCGTCAGAGCGCCGATGCACCGCCGAAGCGCCGGGGTCGGCTTCGCTGATGACAATGTGTGTCTCCCAGAGTACTGCCATGCATCGCCGACGCATCGGACTGTGTCACTAGCACAGGTGCATGTAGCCGTCGGTTGTTTTCGAATCGAGGCAGAGGCGCTCCGGGACCCGCGCTCTCGCCAATGGAAAACCGTTAGAGCACGCGCGTGCTGCGCATGCCTCTTCGTTTGCCGGGCAGAGTTTTAGATGGACTCCTGAGCCACCATGCTCCGCGCGCACCGCGTGCTCCACACACGGCGGACGCAGAGGCGCTGCTTGGCAGAGCTGTCTCCAGTTCTGTTTCGTCCTGGGCCCGAGTCGCGCGGAGGGCGAGCGTCACGTGCTTTGCGATCTCTCTTTCGAAGACGCCCTGCAGGGCGGTGAGTTTGAGGGAGTCCTCTCTGCGCGCGCGCTCCGCCTCCTCGGTGGCCGCGGCCACGGGGTCGGATATCGCGCCCGGATCGTCCGCCATGTCAAGTTCGCCCGTCCAGAACTGGTCGATCAGGGTGCGGTGTCCAGCCAGCAGCGCCACAGTTTCCTCGATGTGGTCCTCCGTGTGGGCCTCATCCTTCATCTCCTGGCGTATACGGTCTGAGGAGTTCCAGAAGTTGTGCAGGTGGGGCGGCACGCGGCTTTGGTCCGCGCAGAGCTTCAGCGCTCAGGCCTGTCCACGCAGGCGCGGCGGCACCCTTGCCGTCACCTCTGGCACATCGAGGTCTTCCATTTTGCGGAAGGGCACATGCTTTAGGACCCACTGGCGGAAGAACTTATCGTTGTGGCGCCAGACAGTGTCCACCGCCACGAGTTGCTCACCGCGCATGGTATACTCGTTCGCGAACTCCGTCTCCGTCAGGTGCTTCTGTTCCTCTGGGCGCTCCTTCCACAGCTTCTTCAACCAACCGGCGATGGCGCCCTTGTGGGTAGTCTTCCGGAGAAACTCCAGGAAGCTCATGTCATCGTGGCGCCACTTGCTTTTCATGTACGCCTTCAGCTCCGACGTGATCTCGGACCCGTCGGGCGTTACCAGGTGTCGCAGTCCGCGGCTCTGCGTCCCCACTCCCCACTGGCGGAAGTTCGCTGATTCAGTTGCAGGACCATCTCTGGCTCGAAGGGATGGCACTCTTTCAGCACGCGCCAAGCGATGGAATTTGCGGCCGCCTTACCGTTCATCCACTCGTCGTAGTTCGCATCGCTGAATTTGGACAAGTATTTCGTGACGCACTTGAGGAGGAGTGCGTCGCCAGCCGATATCTTCCGTCCTGGTGGCACTTCAGCGCTTCCATAATGTCGGGGAAGTATGCGCGGCGGCCGGCCTCGGAGTCGTCCCGAGTGTGGTGCAGGTGCAGGCGCGATGCGTTGGCGTCGTAGGTGGAAGGCCCGTCATGAATCTCCCACATGCTGTCCCCGTCCCGGCTGTCCTGGGAGCCCTTAACGTATGCGGCCTGAGTCTCGTCTGCGGGGAGCGTCGCGCTGAGAGACTTGTCCAGCTCGATGTCCGCCACGTCTTCCAGCCAGAGCAAGCAGTGGAGGTGTGGGCGACCGCTCCCGTGGTAAATCTGAGTGGCCTGCTTCCGGGAACCATCCTGGAATTCCAGGCGCGTGAAAAAAATCACCACCGTGGTCTTCTTCTCATCGCCTGTCTTGCAGCTGAGGATGTGCTTTTTCCAGCAGCGGTCGTCGCGCTTGTTTTGCTGGTTCGCGCCCGTCAGAAGTCCGGAGACGAGTTGGGTGCACAGGTGAGATAAGTGCAGGGACTCCATCGGTGCCAGGTAAAGGCGTGCACGCAGGAGCTTCTTCATGTCGTCGAGGAGGAACTCGTGGTAGGGCGCAGACATCTCCCACGGCGACACTGTAAAGAACTAGGGTTTAGGTAAGATTTAAGGTTTAAATATTTAAGGCTCCCAGGAACCCTTCCATGCTTATTCCGGCACCCCAGGGCGGTGTTCGAGCCGGACGCCCGGGCCGGCGGTCCGGGTCGGCGCTCGGAGCGATTCCGGCTCCGGCCGGCGCCGTAAAATTGAATTCCGAGGCGGCGCGGAAGAAAGGCCACTCGAAGACACATTTTCCTTTCGAAAATATTGATTTCCTGCTCCCGGCGCCCGGGCCGATTCCGGCACCCGACCGGCGCTCGAGCCAGACGCCCGGGCCGGCGCCCGGGCCAGCGCCCGGGCCGGTTCCGGCGCCGGCCGGCGCCAGAAAATTAAATTCCGAGGCGGTGCCGAAAAAAGGCCACTCCAAGACGCATTTTTCTTTCAAAAATATTCATTTTCTGCTCCCGGCGCCCAGGAACCCTTCCGGGCGGATGCCGGCAGCCGATCCGGCGCTCGAGCCGGACGCCCAAGTCGGAGCCCGGGCCGGCGCCCGGGCCAGTTTCGGTGCCGGCCGGCGCCGGAAAATTTAATTCCGAGGTGGTGCCGAAAAAAAGCCACTCCAAGACACATTTTTCTTTCCAAAATATTGATTTTCTGCTCCCGGCGCCCAGGAACCCTTCCGGGCGGATTCTGGCACCCGAGCCGGCGCTGGAGCCGACCCCAAGTCGGCGCCCGGGCCGGCGCCCGGGTCGGTTTCGGCGCCGGACGGCGCCGGAAAATTGAATTCCGAGGCGCCGAGATGGGCGGCGCCATTGTCTGATGTTGTGAGATGATAGTGGGAGATGGATCTTCATTCATCTATAGTTCTAAGCGTCTGGCATCACCTCGCAACATCTCACATCACCTCGCACCTCCTCGCAACATCTCACATCAAGGCGCATCGTTTGTAGACAGAAGCGAGCCCAACATAAATTATATCATCTTGGGTTATCATCTCAGACAGCGTCGTGGAGTTACGCCCCTAGTTAGGATATGTTGTATAGTAGATGATGATGTTCTATGACCAGTTCGCATCTAAGTTATACATGGTTGCGTTCTTACAAGATGTTAGTTCACATCTTCTGTTATCTTCGCCCGTGGCCATGGGCGCGCGCGCCCCAGAGCGTTGCGCATCATGCGATTTGGAGGGCGCGCGGTCGGGCGACGGCGCGGTGGAGAAAGACAACGAGCAGTATGCGATGGGGTCCTACAGGATGATGGGGGAGGAATATTCGAGGAATGGCTCCCCCCCAAACTCTTCCCCCCAGAGGTTCCCCCCCACAGGTTTCCCCCGATCCCCCCTCCCCCCCCCCCGCCCCCCACCCCTGATTGTTTAGGGGGATGGTTCCGATCCTCTTACCCCCACCAAAATGTTTTCCTCATCGAAGTTTTCCGCCGTTTGTTGCCCCCCCCCCCCACCCCCTCCCCCCCCCCCCCCCCGCCCCCCCCCAGCCCACCCCCCCACACCCCCACCCCACCCCGCCCCCCCCCGCCCCCCCCCCACCCTCCCCCCCCCCCCCCCCCCTCCACCCCACCCCACCCCCCACCCCACCCCCCACCCACCACACCCCACCACCACACACACACCCCACGCACACACACACATGCACACACACACACACACACGCACGCTTGCCCCAGAGGTTTGCCGCCCATAGATTTCCCCAATAAGTTTCCCCATAAGTTCCCCTCGATAGGTTTCCCCCTGTGGCTTCGCCCCATACGTTCCCCCCCGCAAGGGCGGTCGGCGGCCCGCTAACATGCCATCGGCACCAGGAGGGCCGTCTTCACTTCATAAGGTTCCCGAACTTTTTCTTTTGTCGTTTTTTCTTGACTTTCTATTGATGTTTCCCTTGGCTACTTCCTTGCCCTCTCTCTCTCTCTCTGTCTCTCCCTCTCTGTCTCTCCCTTCTTTTTCTCTCAGAGGTGGTCCCATCTCTAATTGGATCTTATGCGAAGTGGATCCATTACTCGGATTCGGTTAGAGGCGGATCTATGTCTCATCGAATTATGTTGGGTGTGGCCATCTCCAATTGGACTCTTTTCGAGGTGGATCCATCGCTAATCGGATTCCATTAGAGGTGGGTCCATCTCCAACAGGATTCTAGCAGAGGTGGGTCCATCTCTAATCGGGCACCATTAGAGGTGGACCCATCAGCAATTTGATTCAATTCGAGGTGGGTCCATCCCTAATAGTAATATATTAGAAGTGTGCCCATATGTCATCGGTTCCAAGCAGAGGCGGGTTCATCTCTACTAGGAATATGTGAGAGATGGATCTTTCTCTATTCGGACTCTATCAGGGGTGGATGCATCCCGCACAAGATTCTATTACAGGCGGGTCCATATGTCATAGGTTCCCTTTCGAGGTGGATCCACCTTTCATACAATTATGTGACAGGTTGGCCCATATGTATCAGGATTCTCTTAGAGGTGTACATCTGTATGAGGATTCTATCATAGGTGGGCCTATCTATGTTAGGGTACAAGTTAAGGCGGGCCCATTGTCCATAAGTTTCCATGAGAGGTGGGTCCATTGGTAGTGCGTTTCTGCCAGAAGTGGACCCATCTCTAATCGGATTCCATTAAAGGTGCACCTGGGTCCATCATGCAACCTGATTCCAATAAAAGTGGATCCATCTGTAGATTTTTTGAGATGGCCACATCTGCAATCGGTTTGTTTTAGAAGTGGATCCATATGTCATCGGATTCTATCAGATGTGGATCCGCCTCTAATAGGCTTCTACCAAGGGTGTCAATATGTACGAGGGTTCGATTAGAAGTGCACCATCTGTCATAACATTCTGTCAGGGGTGGATACATATCGGGTAGGGGTCTCTTAGAGGTGGGTCCATGTCTAGTGGAATTTCAGCAGAGGTGCATACATCGCCGATAGGAAGCTCTTTGACGTGAACCCACTCCTATTATGCTTTTATCAGAAGCGAATCCACCTGTGATGAGATAGATCCTATGGAATGTGAACCAATGTGTAATGGGATTATATGAGAGGTGGACCCATATGTAGTAAGATTCTGTTACAGGTGCATCCGTCTCCAGTACGACTTTATCAGGTGTAATCATTGCTGATAGGTCCTGATAGAAGTGGGCAAATCTCTGATTTGATACTAGTAGATGTGCACCCATCTCTAATGATATTTCACGATATGTGGATCCTTATGTGATACGACTCAATTAGGGGTGGGACCATTGGTAATACGATCCCATGAAAGGTGGATTTACATGTAATAAGATTGTTAGTGGTGGGTTGATCTCTAAGATGATTCTATTAGAGGCAGATCCATTCGTAATAGGATTACAATAGAAGTGGACCATTATGATAGAATTCTGTTCGAGACGAATCCATCCCTGATTGGATTCTATCTCATTTATGTGTAGTCGAATTTCAATAGGATTGGGTCCATTTGTATTAGGCGTCTATTGGGGTTTGATCCAGGTGTCGTAGGATTATTCTAGTAGACACAGATCCATATATAATGGGATGCTCTTAGAGGTGGAACCATCGCTACTATTCCATTAGACATGTGAACATCGCGTATAGGATTCTCTATTAGATACGGATCCTGCCTTAAAAAAGATTCAATTAGAGGTGTATACGTCGCTACACAGATTCTGTTCGAGGTGGATCCATCCGTAATAAGATTCTATCAGGCGTAGAATCATACATAATAGGATCGTGTCAGATGTGGATCCATATGTAGCAAGATTCCATTAGATGCTGATCCATCTGTCATTAGAATCTTTCAGTTGTGGATCCACCTGCAATAGGATTCTATGTGAGGCCGACACAGATCTGAAGGATGTCATCAGAGGCGGGTCCGTCTGCAAAAGGGCGCCATTACATGTGGACCCATCTCTGGCAGTCTTCATTTCAAATGTGGGCCCGTCGGTAATCCGATTCCATTTGATGTGGATCCATCTGAAATATGATTCTATCAAGCGGATCAATATGTGATCTGAATACTAAGAGGATTCCGTTAGAGCAGGATCCATGTCAAATAGGATTCAATTGCAGAAAGATCCAGCTGTAATAGGTTCCTATTCGAGGTGGCGTCATCGCTAATATCATCGCACTAGAAGTGGTTCCATCTCTATTAGGGTTCCATTAGAGGTGGATCCATCTCTAATCGGTTTCCAGTAGAGCTGGATCCATATGTAATAGGATTCCATCATCGGATCCATGTCTAGTCGGCTTCCATTAGAGGTGGGTCCATCTGTAAGAGGATTCCATGAGGAGTGGTTCCATCTCTGTTGGCATCCCATTAGATGTGGATCCATATACAATAGGTGTCCATTACAGGTGGATATTTTTCTGATGGGGTTCCGTTCGAGGTGGGCCCATCTCTGATAAGAATCCGCCAGAGGCGCGTACATCTCCTAATCGGGCGGGTGCACTCGCGGTCGCAATTGTAATCGTCGCCAAGACGAATTCTACAAGAGTCCTCCATATTAGGAATGATATTGTAACACTTAACAACATAATTTATGTTGTAATTTTCCGCGCAAGAAATCTCGTTGCAATCCGCAACAGAATGAATCCTTGCGCAATCACCAACAGAAGGAATCCTATGGAAATCCTCCACAAAATGACCAGATTGTAATTCTCCACGAAAAGAATTGTATTGTTATGCGCAGCAAAAGAAATCCTTTTGTGGCGGCCAGGAAAAAGGCGGGCCCGAACAGAAACAAAAATATATACAGATAATACAACAAACAACACGCCGCAAATGACATCGCATTGACCCCCCCCCCCCACCCCCTCCCCCCCCCCCCCCCCCCACCCCCCCCCGCCCCCCCCCCACCCCACCCCCACCAACACCCCCCCACCTCCCACCCCCCCCCCCCCCCCCCCCTCCCCTCCCCCCCCCCACCCCCCCCCCCCACCCCCAACCCCCCACCCCCACCCCCCCCCCCCCCCACCCCCCCCCCCCCCCCCCCCCCCCACCCCACCCGCCCGCACCCACCCCACCAACACACACCCACCACCCCCACAACACCACACCACCACCACCACCACCACCGCCACCGCCACCACACACGCACACACACGCACGCACACACACGCACACACACGCACACACACACAAAAGAAATCATATTGTGACCTGCCACAGAAGGAATCCTTTTGAAATCGCCCACAAAAGGAATCCTATTGAAATCCTCCGCAAAAGAAACCCGATTGTAATTCTCCACAAAATGGGTTGTAGTGCAATGCGCCGCAAAGGATATCCTTTTGTGGCGGCCAGTAAACAAGTACGATGGCCCGAAAACAAAAAAGAAATTGAAAAATCAATAACTCATAATGACATTAATAATAAAACCAACAAAAAACACGCCGCAGAAGAAATCATTTTGAAACCCTTCGCAATAGAAATCCTATTGAAATCCGCCGCAGAAGGAATCCTTTTTTAACCGCCCACAAAAGGAATCCTATTGAAATCATCAACAAAAAGAATCCTAATGTAATCCGCCACAAAAGGAATCTATGTAATGCGCGACAAAGGAAATCATTTTGTGGCGGCCAGGAAAAGCGCGGGCGGGGGGGGGGGGGCGAGAAAAAAACAAAACTGTCAACCTTTTTTTCCCCTCGGGCGGTGGCGGGCAACACAAATATCAATCACAAATGAAACACTGCGTTTTTTTGTTTGTTTTCTTTGGCCCGCCCCGCCGACTTTTCCTGGTCGCCCCTAAAGGATTTCCTGCGTGGCGGGTGTCAATGGGATTCCTGTCGTGGGCGATTACGAAAAGGATTCCTCTTGTTGAGGATTTCAATAAGATTCCTTTTGTGGGCGATTACAAAAGGATTCCATTCTGCGACGGGTTGCAATCGGATTTTTCTGTGGGAGGTTTCCACGGGATTTCGCCAGCGGCGTTTTTTTTTGTTTTCCTTTTTTGTTTTTTGTTCGAGCCCTTCCCCCACAAAAGAAAAACAGAGAGAGAGAGAGAGGGGAGGGGGAGGGGGAGGGAGAGGGCGATGGAACGATAAACAAAAAGAAATCGAAAGAAACATGTCGGGAACCTTACGATGCGAAGTAAAGTCGCCACCTGCGGAGCCTGCGGGGTCCGCGGGGCCCGCGATGCCTGCGACGCATGCGGGGCGCGCGGCGCCTGCGGGGTGCGCGACACCTGTAATATCTGCGAGATATGCGGGGCCTGGGGATAGGACCTGCGAGATCTGTGGGAGCTGTTAAGCCTGTGGGGGATGCGTTGCCGCATTGTGAAAAATTATATATATATATATATATATATATATATATTTGTCTATATATATTTATATTTAGATATATCCCTGCCAAGCGCTCGTTACATGGGAAGGCGGATGCGGTGAGAAGGCGAATGCCCTGACACGCGTGCGTTGCTTTCTCTGGTTCTTTTGCATTGTGCTGGTTGTGCTGGTGGTGCTGGTGGTGCTGGTGCTGGTGCTCGCGGTGGTGGTGATGCTGGCGCTGCGGCTGGCGGTGATGATGCTGCAACTGCTTGTGGTGCTGCTGATGCCGTTGCTGGCGTTGTTGCTGCTGGCGCTGCTGATGTTGTGTATGATGCTGGTGGTGCTGCTGGTGGTGCTGCTGTTTCTGGTGCTGCTGGTGCTGTTGGAGGTGCTGGTGCTGGGGCTGCTGGGGCTGCTGCTGGTTATGCTGATGCTGGGCGCCACTGATGGTGCTGCTCCTGGCCATGTTGCTGCTGATGCTGCTGATGGTGCTTGCGGTGGTGCTGCTGTTGCCGATGGTGATGCTTCTGGAGGTGCTGGTGCTGGGCTGATGGTGCTGCTGCTGGTTATGTTGATGCTGCGTGATACTGGTGCTGCTGCTCCTGGACATGTTGCTGCTGATGCTGCTGATGGCGCTGCTGGTGGTGCTGCTGTGCTGCTGCTGATACTGATATTGATACTGATGTTGTTGCTGGTGCTCATGTAGGCTGGTGGTGCCGTTGGTTGGTGATGCTGCTGCTCGACCTGTTGGTGCTGGTGGTCCCTCGGGGTCCTCTTGTGCCCATCTCAGGGTTGTGGTGGGCGCTATTGGGGTCCTCGTGAGGTTCTTTCGGTTGGCACTGTTCATTGCGGCCTTCATGGGCCCGTTCGGGGCGGGCCCTCTCGGGGGCCATTGAGGGCTTCGCGCGCGGCCAAGAGTTTGCCCAAGTTGCTTCCGAAACGGCCCAGGACTGCCCAAGATGCCGGGTTTAGGGTTTAGGGTTTAGGGTTTAGGGTTTAGGGTTTAGGGCCTGCATTGGCGCATGCGCGCGCTGGCTGCGATCCCCCCCACATCAAGGTTGTTGGGGGGGATCGCTGCCCAAGCCGCGCGCGCTATGAACTTGCACTCCCGCCCCAGACCACCCACAGTAAAGCCCTTTAGGGTTTAGGGTTTCTCCCCCCAACCCCCCTATCAAGGGGGGCTTTCGTGTTGTGTGCGAATGCGCATATTCCGCGGGGAGCACGACGACGCGGTCTTGGCATTGCGTTCTTGGTACGCGCGCAAAGCGCTTTGCGCAGGCGCAAGAGCCTGCGTCGTCGCATGGCCAACAATCTTTGCCGTGGGTTTAGCTGCATTCGGCTGGCTCCCAGTTGGCGCATGGCTTTGCCGAAGGACGGATTCTTCTCCTGCGGGCGTTCATTGCAATCAGAAGGCACAGGAAAGGCCTCAAGGCCAGGCGTCGCCGCATGAGGTTTTGAGTTACGGCGTTGGCCTGTCGCAGACGCAGCACTGCCCCTGGTTCCAGTAGGCCTCCTGCATTGGCTTTTGCCGTTGGCCTGGCTGCCCTTGCAGCCGCCGTCGTAGACGGCTGCCGCTGGCGCAGCGCATCCACAGGGGTCCGCGTGTGCCTTCGGCGTTGGAAAGGAGCACTGCGAGGGCGCTGGCGCGGCAATCCCATGGGCCCCCGTGGGCCTCGAGCGAGTAGCCGCGCCGTCGGGCTGCTCGCTGACGGCGACGCGCACGGCAGTTGTATTCGCCCGCGGCTTTGGGTTTTGCTTTGAAATCGCAATCATCGACGCAGACGCTGTCGACGCGAGCTTCGGAAGGCAGGAGGAGGAGCGCGAGGGGGTGGGTCTGGCACCCCCTCGCTACGATGCGCGCGCATGGCTGCGGCAGCACGTCCATGGCAGACCCCCTGGAATGCCTTGGGGGAGCTCCCTGGGAGCGCTGGGGGAGCGCCTCGACCTTTCCCCAGGATGGAAGCACGTGGGAGCGTCTGGGAGCGCGACAGGACACGCAGAGTGCACCGCGAGCGCGAGCCGTGAATTGCCCGTTGGGCTTGACCGTTGGCGTCGCCCCCGCTGAAGCGATTGCGTTGTCGACGCAGCCGCCTTCGGCGCGAATTTCGCATGGCTGGAAGGGGGAGCGCGAGGGGGTGGGTCTGGCACCCCCTCGCTACGATGCGCGTGCATGGCTGCTGCAGCACCTCCATGGCAGACCTCTTGGAATGCCTTGGGAGAGCTCTCTGGGAGCGCTGAGAGAGCGCCTCGAGGTTTCCCCAGGATGGAAGCACGTGGGAGCGTCTGGGAGCGTGACAGGACACGCAGAGTGCACCGCGAGTGCGGGCCGTGGGCTGTCCATTGGGCAGGACCGTTGGCGTCGCCCCCGCTGAAGCGATTGCATTGTCGACGCAGCCACCTTCGGCGCGAATGTCGCATTGCTGGAGAGGGAGCGCGAGGGGGTGGGTCTGGCACCCCCTCGCTACGATGCGCGCGCATGGCTGCGGCAGCACCTGCATGGCGGGGGAGCGCGCCTTTCAGCACCCGTGGAGCGCCTGGGAGCTACCGGGAACGCCTGGGAGCGCTTGGGAGCTCCTTGGAGCGCCGGGGAGCGCCTGGGAGCGCTTGGGAGCGCATGGGAGCGCGCCGGGAGCGCCTGGGAGCTCCGGGGGGCGCGTGGGTGCGCTTGCGGGAGCGCCCGGGAGCGTGCTTGGAGCGCCTGGGAGCGCCTGTGAGCGCTTGCTCTTCGTAGCGCCTGGAAGCGCTTGGGAGCGTGCAGGGAGCGCCTTGGAGCGCCTGGGGCACTTCGGAGCGTGCCGCGAGTGGGAGCGCCTGGAAGCGCCTGGGAGCGCTTGGGAGCGTGTCGCGAGCGCGCGCCGGGGAGCGCTTGGGATCGCCTGGGAACGCTTGGGAGCGCTGGGGAGCGCCTGGGAACGCTTGGGAGCGCCTGGGAGCGCCTGGGAGCGCTTGGGAGCGCTTGGGAGCGCCTGGGAGCGCCTGGGACGTGCGCCAGCCGAAAGGACGCCGCAAGCTGTATTTTCATATGGTTTGCGGCCCCACGGACGGCCGAAAGGGCGCCGCATGCTGTATTTCCATAGGTTTGGAGCCCCAGGGGATGGCACCAATCGCAGCGAAGCCTACGGCTGCACTTTGGGTTAAGGGTACTTTCTCTTCTCAGATGCACACCCACGGGGATGCATACCCGCGGGATGCGAATCCTCCTCAGCGGCTATCGCCGCTTCGTCGGTGCCGCGTTCGCGCATGGGCGGACTCGCTGATCGCTCGGCCAGGCGCCACGGGCTTCTGACGATGCACCGCCCGTGGCTTGCAGTTTAGGGTTTAGGGTTTAGGGTTTAGGGTTTAGGGTTTAGGGTTTAGGGTTTAGGGTTTAGGGTTTTAGGGTTTAGGGTTTAGGGTTTAGGGTTTAGGGTTTAGGGTTTAGGGTTTCTGCGCAGAACCATCCTATCCCCCCCTCCTCAGGAGGTAGGGGGGGATGGATGGATGCGTTCTGTCCCACCCCATCCACCCAGAGTCATTGCTTTTAGGGTTTAGGGATCTTCCCCCCACGCTCCCCCTCATCAAGGGGGGAAGGAGTGCTGGCGTCAGCCTGAGTGAGTGATGTGCGTCCCAGAAACACGCGTGAACCGTAACAAGCAGGTCGGGTCGGGTCGAGCGCACTCGAGGGTTCGCCCGACTTCAACGTGGTTTGCATAGCATTGTGGTGGTTTACATAGCGGAAATAAAGATCCTCATAGCAGGCTCGATGAAGGGGCGCGCCTGGGAGCACGCATGATCAGTTTATAATATTTTTTGAGAGAGCCCGCGGCCGAAGCAGCACCCAAGGGAGCTCGAAACAGACGGCTTGAGAGAGCCCGCGGCCGAAGCAGCACCCAAGGGAGCTCGAAACAGACGCGCGTGAGAGAGCCCGCGGCCGAAACAGTATCCAAGGGAGCTCGAAACAGACACCCTTGAGAGAGTCGCGGGCAAAAGGAGACCAAGGGGAGCTCGAAACAAAACGCGGCTTGAGAGAGCCCGCGGCCGAACCAGCAGGCAAGGGAGCGCAGCTCGAAACAGACCCCCTTGAGAGAGTCTGCGGCCAAAGGAGCACCCAAGGGAGCTCGAAACAGACACGCTTGAGAGCGCCCGCGGCCGAAACAGCACCCAAGGGAGCTCGAAACAGACACCCTTGAGAGAGTCCGCGGCCAAAGCAGCACCCAAGGCAGCTCGAAACAGACGAGAGCCCGCGGCCGAAGCAGCACCAAAAAGCTCGAAACAGACGCGCTTGAGAGAGCACGCGGCCGAAGCAGCACCCAAGGGAGCTCGAAAAAGACACCCTTGAGAGAGTTCGCGGCCACAAGAGCATCCAAGGGAGCTCGAAACATACGCGCTTGAGAAAGCCCGCGGCCGAAGCAGCATCCAGGGGAGCTCGAAACAGACACGCTTGAAAAGCCCGCGGCCGAAACAGCACCCAAGGGAACTCGAAACAGACACCCTTGAGAGAGTCTGCGGCCAAAGGAGCACCCAAGGGAGCTCGAAACAGACGCGCTTGAGAAAGCCCCCGGCCGCAGCAGCACCCAAGCGAGCTCGAAAAAGACGCGCTTGAGAGAGCCCGCGGCCGAAGCAGCACCAGGGGAGCTCGAAACAGACGCGCTGGTGAGAGCCCGCGGCCGAAACAGCACTCAAGGGAGCTCGAAACAGACACCCTTGAGAGAGTCCGCGGCCAAAGGAGCAGCCAAGGGAGCTCGAGACAGACGCGCTTGAGAGAGCCCGCGGCCGAAGCAGCACCCAAGGGAGCTCGAAACATACGGCTTGAGAGAGCCCGCGGCCGAAGCAGCACCCAGGGGAGCTCGAAACAGACACGCTTGAGAGAGCCCGCGGCCGAAACAGCACCCAAGGGAGCTCGAAACAGACACCCTTGAGAGAGCCCGCGGCCAAAGGAGCACCCAAGAGAGCTCGAAACAGACGCGCTTGAGAGAGCCCGCGGCCGAAGCAGCACCCAAGGGAGCTCGAAACAGACGGCTTGAGAGAGCCCGCGGCCGAAGCAGCACCCAAGGGAGCTCGAAACAGACACGCTTGAGAGAGCCCGCTGCCGAAACAGCATTCAAGGGAGCTCGAAACAGACACCCTTGAGAGAGTCTGCGGCCAAAGGAGCACCCAAGGGACACAAACCAAGCCCACAGGAGAACGCAGACCGGCGCCACAGTCGCCAACCGAGCCAGCCCGAGCTCGGAGTTTCGCCCAAGTTCGGAGCCCGAGCCGGAATCAGAGCCCGAGCCGGCACCGCGCCGGAGCCCGGGGGAATGTGAATCCGGTATATCGGTAATTTTCCTTGGTTTAGCTCTCCCAGAGAGGTCTGCGCACGCTCTTGAGGATATGTTTTGTTAACTACCCTGGGAACGATCCTCTGGGGGCTCCTTCACGCCAAGAGCTCTGGAGGGGAGCTCTGGGGGAGAGCTTTGGGGGAGAGCTCTGGAGGGAGAGCTCTGGGGGAGAGCTCCGGGGGAGAGCTCTGGGGGAGAGCTCTGGGGGAGAGCTCTGGGGGAGAGCTCTGGGGGAGAGCTCTGGGGGAGAGCTCTGGGGGAGAGCTCTGGGGGAGAGCTCTGGGAGAAAGCTCTGGGGGAGAGCTCTGGGGGAGAGCTCTGGGAGAGAGCTCTGGGGGAGAGCTCTTGGGGAGAGCTCTGGGGGAGAGCTCTGGGGGAGAGCTCCGGGAGAGAGCTCTGGGGGAGAGCTCTGGGGGAGAGCTCTGGGGGAGAGCTCTGGGAGGGAGCTCTGGGGGAGAGCTCTGGGGGAGAGCTCTGGGGGAGAGCTCTGGGGGAGAGCTCGGGGGGAGAGCTCTGGGGGAGAGCTCTGGGGGGAAGCCCTGGAGGGGAGCTCTGGGGGAGAGCTCTGGGGGGGAGCTCTGGGGAGAGCTCTGGGGGAGAGATCTGGGGGAGAGCTCTGGGGGAGAGCTCCGGGGGAGAAGGTGAGCGGTATCCGCGAGCATCCGGCCGAGGTTTAGGGGTTATCATTGTGCAAGCGAAGCACCGCCTCGGGCCGGCAGGCCTAAGGTCGCGGTGAGCTCGACTTGCAGCTCGCTCTCACTAGCAGATCCTTACAGGCGTGGCGGTGCGCGCCCCCAGGTCCGCGCCTGCAGTTTAGGGTTTAGGGTTTAGGGTTTAGGGTTTAGGGTTTAGGGTTTAGGGTTTAGGGCCTGCATTGGCGCAAGCGCGCGCTGGCTGCGATCCCCCCCACATCAAGATTGTTGGGGGGGATCGCTGCCCACGCCGCGCGCGCCACGGTTAGTCGCACTCCCGCCCCAGACCACCCAGAGTGAAGCCTTTTAGGGTTTAGGGTTTCTCCCCCCAACCCCCCTATCACGGGGGGCTGTCGAAGTGGCGCGCGCAGGCGACCGCCGACGCGGCCGTGGCACTGCGCATCCACGTGAGCACGCGCGCATGGCGCGTGACGTAAGCGCGTCGGCTCGTCGCCTCGTCGAAGAGGCAGCCTTTGGCGATTTCGGCGTTGAGCTTCGCCGTTGGGCTGCCGCTGGCGCAGCATGTCCATGCGCTGCTGCATGTGCCTTCGGCACTGGGTTGCGACACTGGGCGGTGGATGTTGGGATGCGCGCGTGCGGCCGCGGCCGCAGCAATGCGCGCCGATGCGAGCACGCGCGCAGGGTGCATGGCGCTGGCGCGTCAGGTCGCCTCGTCGATGAGGCAGCGGGTTGCACCTTCGGCGGGGAGTTTCGCCGGTGAACTGCCGCTGGCGCAGCAGTTCCACAGGGGTCCGGCATTTGCCTTCGGCATTGGACAGCAGCACTGCGAAGGCGCTGGCGCGGGAATCCCATGGTTCCCCGTGGGCCTGGAGCGAGTGGTTGCGCCGACGGGCTCCTCGCTGACGGCGACGCGTACGGCAATTACATTCGCCCGCGGCTTTGGGTTTCGCCTTTGGGGTCGCCCCCCCGCTGAAGCGATTGCAATCAGCGACGCAGCCGCCTTCGGCGCGAGCTTCGGACGGCTGGAGGGGGAGCGCGAGGGGGTGGGTCTGGCACCCCCTCGCTACGATGCGCGCGCATGGCTGCGGAAGCACCTCCATGGCAGAGCCCGTGGAATGCCTTGGGGGGGCCTCTGGCAGCGCTGGGAAAGCGCCTGGAGCTTCCCCCAGGAGCCCTGGGATCGCCTGGAACCGCATGGGCACGCTTGGGAGCGCGCGGGAGCGCATGGGAGCGCCGCGTGGCGCCTTGGAGCGCTTGTGGGTGCTTAAGAGCGCGTGGGAATGCTTGGGCGCTTGGGAGCACCTGGGAACGCCGGGGAGCGTTAGGAGCGCTTCGGGGTTGTGGCAGCGCTGGGAACGCTGGGGAGCGCCTGCGAACGCTCGGGAGCGCGCCAGGAGCGTGCCGGGAGCGCTTGGGAGCGCCTGCGAGCGCCTGGGAGCGCCTGGGGGCGTGCCGGGAGCTCCTGGGAGCGCCTGGGAGCGCAGCCAACGCGCGCCTGGGAACGCACCTGGGAGCGTGCCGGGAGCGCCCAGGAGCGCTGGGGAGCGCTGTGGACCGCCTGGGAGCGCCTGGGAGCGTGCCGAGAGCGCCTGGGAGCGTGCCGGGAGCGCCTGAAGCGCCGTAGAGCGCTTGGGAGCGTGCCGGGAGCGCCTGGGGAAGCTTGGAAGCGCCTGGGGGCGCTCGGGGGCGCTTGGGAGCGCCTGGGAGCGCCTGGGAGCGCTTGGGAGCTCCTGGGAACGCTTGGGAGCGCCTGGGAGCTGCCGGGAGCGCTTGGGAGAGCCTGGGAGCGCTTGGAAGCGCTTGAAAGCGATTCGCAAAGTGCTGGGAGTAGCAGGGAACGCGGGAGAGCGCCTGGGAGCACCGGGGAGCGCTTGGGACCGCACCGGGAGCGCCTGGAAGCGTCTGGGAGCGCCTGGGAGCGCCTGGGCGCGCCTCGGAGCACCTGGGAGCACTTGGGATCGCTTGGGAGCGCTTGGGAGCGCTTGGGAGCGCATGGTAGCGCCTGGGAGCACCTGGGAGCGCCTCGGAGCGTTTGGTACGTGTGCCAGCCCCTAGAAGCAGCCGAAGCGGCGCCGCATGCTGTAATTTCATACGTTTGGAGCACCCAGAGAGCACCGTATGCTGTATTTTCATAGGTTTGGAGCCTCAGGGGATGTAGCGACTCGCAGGGAACCCGCCGGCTGCGGCTGAGGGTTAAGGGTTCCTTTTCTTAGGAGAACACCACGGGGATGCACCGCGCGGCGTGCGAATTCCTCCTCAGCGGCTATCGCCGCTTCGTCGGTGCGGCGAACGCCGTATGGGCAGGCTCGCTGAGCGCTCGGCCAGACGCCACGGGCTTCTGACGATGCACCGCCCGTGGCTTGCAGTTTAGGGTTTAGGGTTTAGGGTTTAGGGTTTAGGGTTTAGGGTTTAGGGCCTGCAGGCGCATGCGCGCGCTGGCTGCGATCCCCCCCACATCAAGGTTGTTGGGGGGGATCGCTGCCCAAGCCGCGCGCGCTATGAACTTGCACTCCCGCCCCAGACCACCCACAGTAAAGCCCTTTAGGGTTTAGGGTTTCTCCCCCCAACCCCCCTATCAAGGGGGGCTTTCGTGTTGTGTGCGAATGCGCATATTCCGCGGGGAGCACGACGACGCGGTTTTGGCATTGCGTTCTTGGTACGCGCGCAAAGCGCTTTGCGCAGGCGCAAGAGCCAGCGTCGTCGCATGGCCAACAATCTTTGCCGTGGGTTTAGCTGCATTCGGCTGGCTCCCAGTTGGCGCATGGCTTTGCCGAAGGACGGATTCTCCTCCTGCGGGCGTTCCTTGCAATCAGAAGGCACAGGAGAAGCCTCAAGGCCAGGCGTCGCCGCATGAGGTTTTGAATTACGGCGTTGGCCTGTCGCAGACGCAGCATTGCCCCTGGTTCCAGTAGGCCTCCTGCATTGGCTTTTGCCGTTGGCCTGGCTCCCCTTGCAGCCGCCGTCGTAGACGGCTGCCGCTGGCGCAGCGCACCCACAGGGGTCCGCATGTGCTTTCGGCGTTGGAAAGCAGCACTGCGATGGCGCTGGCGCGGCAATCCCATGGGCCCCCGATGGCCTCGAGCGAGTAGCCGCGCCGTCGGGCTCCTCGCTGACAGCGACGCGCACGGCAGTTGCATTCGCCCGCGGCTTTGGGTCTTGCTTTGAGGTCGCCCCCGCTGAAGCGATTGTAATCATCGACGCAGACGCTGTCGACGCGAGCTTCGGAAGGCGGGAGGAGGAGCGCGAGGGGGTGGGTCTGGCACCCCCTCGCTACGATGCGCGCGCATGGCTGCGGCAGCACGTCCATGGCAGACCCCCTGGAATGCCTTGGGGGAGCTCTCCGGGAGCGCTGGGGCAGCGCCTCGACCTTTCCCCAGGATGGAAGCACGTGGGAGCGTCTGGGAGCGCGACAGGACACGCAGAGTACACCGCGAGCGCGAGCCGTGAATTGCCAGTTGGGCTTGACCGTTGGCGTCGCCCCCGCTGAAGCGATTGCATTGTCGACGCAGCCGCCTTCGGCGCGAATGTCGCATGGCTGGAAGGGGGAGCGCGAGGGGGTGGGTCTGGCACCCCCTCGCTACGATGCGCGTGCATGGCTGCTGCAGCACCTCCATGGCAGACCTATTGGAATGCCTTGGGAGAGCTCTCTGGGAGCGCTGAGAGAGCGCCTCGAGGTTTCCCCAGGATGGAAGCACGTGGGAGCGTCTGGGAGCGTGACAGGACACGCAGAGTGCACCGCGAGTGCGGGCCGTGGGTTGTCCATTGGGCAGGACCGTTGGCGTCGCCCCCGCTGAAGCGATTGCATTGTCGACGCAGCCGCCTTCGGCGCGAATGTCGCATGGCTGGAGAGGGAGCGCGAGGGGGTGGGTCTGGCACCCCCTCGCTACGATGCGCGCGCATGGCTGCGGCAGCACCTGCATTGCGGGGGAGCGCCGGGAAGCGCCGCTAGGGAGCGCTGCCGAGTGCTTGCGAATGCATGACGCTTGGGGGCGCCATGGGACCGCTTGGACTGCTTCAATCGCGCTTGGGAACGCCGGGGAGCGCTTGGGACCACCTGTGGGAGCTTGGGAGCGCATGGGAACGCCTGGGAGCGCTTGGGAGCGTGCTGGGAGAGTGCCGGGAGCGCCTGGGAGCGCGCCGGAGCGCCTGGGAGTGCTTCGGAGCGCCCCGGAGCGCTCGGAGGCGCCAGGGAGCGCTTGGGAGCGCGCAGGGAGCGCTTGAGCAGGCTAGGAGCGCCTGGGAGCGTGCAGGGAGCGCTTGGAGTACCTGGAAGCGCTTGGGAGCGCCAGGGAGCGCCGGGGAGCACCTGGGAGCTTGCCGGGAGCGCCTGAGAGCGCCTGGGAGCGCCAGCGCCTGGGTGCATTGGGAGCGCTTGGGAGCGTGCCGAAAGCGCCGGGGAGCGCTTGGGAGCGCCTGGGAACGCTTGGGAGCGCTGGGGAGCGCCTGGGAACTTGGGAGCGCCTGGGAGCGCCTGGGAGCGCTTGGGAACGCTTGGAAGCGCCTGGGAGCGCCTGGGAGCGCCTGGGAGCGCCTGAGAGCGCCTTGGAGCGCTTGGGAGCGCCTGGGAAGTCTCCGACGGCTTCTCGGACGACGGCTTCTCGGACGACCTGAAAGGCTATGTGGACGGATCGCAGCTCAACAAGCATGGCGACGCAGAGAGCAAGTGGCCGATCTACCACGGCCCGTCGGGGGTGCACGGCGACGATGGTGTCCTCCAGCTGAAGCACACCGAGGAGGACCACGACGCGGGCCTCCGAGCGTACTGCGCTGACGTAATGGACGGGCTCCCTTGCCATCAGGACTGGCAGACCAGCGACGGGGAGGCCATGCTCCTGCAATACGTTTCCAAGTATGTGGCAAAGTTCTCGGACAGCAGCTACGACGAGTGGATGAGCGACAAGGCCTCCGCGGACAGCGTGGCCAGGCGCGTCTGCTTCGAGTACCACCCCTACGAGCCAGAGATGATCCTGCAGCTGTGTGGAGCGCAATTCAGACAGTACGACATCTCTACGGTCAGCGGCGGCTTCCGCACCGTGACGGCGCCTTACTCGGGCATGGCGGATGTGCCCGACTGGGTCCAGAGGTATGCTGACTGCGCGTGGCGCCACGAGGGCATGACGCTCTTGGAGTGGCTTCGGAAGACTACTGACGACGGCGCCATCGCCGGATGGCTGAAGCGCAAGCACAAGCAGGAGCTGGTGTTGGCCCTGCACAGGCGGTACCGCGCGACCGTGCCAGAGGGCGAGGAGCCCCAGGCGCTCGACGCTCACTGGCGATTCCTGCGCGCTGAGTACAAAGGCATGGCCGATGCTGATGGCGGAGGTAGCGGGAACAGTGACAAAGACTCCGACGCCGAAGACGAGGAGCAGCCGAATACCTTCGAGGAGTTCCTCGCGAAGAAGCACAGAGACGAAAAGAGCGAGGGCGAGGACGACTTGCCGAACCTCAAGGAGTTCGCGCGAGCCTACCGCATGCAGGGCGAGAAGGTGGTCAGCGTCGACACGGTATACGAGCTCAACGACCGCTACTACGGCCAGTGGGCTGCAATGAACGTGCCGTTCCGATCGCTCGACGAGCTCGAGTTCGAGGATGTCAATCGCCTGGTTCCGCAGAAATACAAGTATCTCGCGGCGGCGCTGCGACTGTGCTCTGACCAGGGCCGCGTCGCTGAAGAGCACCATGACTTGTTCACCGATGACAGGCGGCTCGTGGACTACATGAGCGCTTCCGCGAAGTCCAGCAAGTTCACCGAGGCTGTGCATCGCATGATCGTGGGCCAACGGAAGTTGATCAACATGTACCTGACGGGCATCATCGGCAAGGCCGACGAGAAGGCCGCGGCCGACGCCGAGGCCGCGGTCATCGGCAACCGCAGGCCAGCGCGCGGCGAGGGCGACGAGCAGGTCGACTTCAACCCGAAGCAGTTGCAGCTGGAGAAAGCGATCAACGAGCGCGTGGACCGTGCCGTGCGGGCGGAGCTGTCGGAGGACTGGGAGGAGGCGGACGAGGCGCGCGAGGAAGCCTACAAGAAGAACACGCCCGTCATCTGCCTTGGGAAGCCTGGGACGGGGAAAACGACCGTGGTGAAGTCTTCCATTCGCCGCGCCCAGGAGCAAGGCGCGCGCGTGCTCTTCGCCCTCCCGACGGCGCAGCTGTCCAGCCGCATGAAGCAAGCACTGCAAGGCCTGGACGGCTTAACAATCGATACGTGCCACGCCGCATTCAAGTTGCATGAGCCCATCTCGGAGAGTCTTCACAGGATGACGGACTTCGACTTGGTAGTGGTTGACGAGGTATCGCTGCTGAGCTGCGACAGTTTCGAGCGCATCCTGAAGCTGTGGAGCGTCGCTGGGAAAGTCCCCGCGCTGGTCTTCCTCGGGGACAAGCACCAGCTCCCGGGGGTCGAGCCGACACGTCCGTGGGAGAGTGCCGCATGGAAGCAGCCGCGCTGCTTCCACGTGAAGCTCACCGAGACCTGGCGGTGCAAGGAGGAGCGCTTCCAGGAGATCCTGGACGAGCTTCGGACAGACAAGCCTTCGAAGGAGACGTTTCCGCAAGATTGTGCGCGATCACAAGGCGTGGAAGAGCAGAGGCGATCCCACGCCCGCCGAAATGAAGAAGCTCTTCGAGAAGCACCCAGACACGCGGATCGTCACCTGCACGCGCAGGGGCGCCGCGGCCGTGAACGAGGCTGCAGTCGCTGCGCTGTACGGCCGCAAGACCCCGCTGGCCACGCTGGACGGCGACGTGGAACTCAACCCCGAGAACTACCTGGATGGCAAGCTCCGCACGGACCGCAGGCTGGTTCCAAGCAAAGTGCCGATCTATAAGGGGATGAAGTTGTACCTGACGAAGAACAAGAACAAGGAGGCTGACGAGGTCAACGGCATGCTTTGCGAGGTGGAGAACTACCACGCCGAGGAGGACATGCTGCGCGTGATGACGAAGACTGGCCATCGTCTGGCCATCACTCGCTGGACCGATCGCGAGAAGGGCAACGCGGTCTACTTTCCAATCCGCCTCGGGTACGCCAGCACCATCGACAAAGTGCAAGGCGACGAGTTCCCCCACATCACAATATACCTGGACGGATGGCCCCGACCAGCAGCCGGGTATACAGCGCTCAGCCGTGTCGCGACGTCGGACGACTACCTGATCGGCGGCTACGTGGAGCGCGACAACTTCATACCCGCGTTCTGAGTGTCGACGGAGCGCCGCGCGTTGGCTGGCGCGCGACCGTTCGCCTCTCGCAGTATCCACGCGGTGCGCCTGCCCCGCTGTCGCGTGCAAAGGCACGACCGTGCGCATTCCTGCTAGGAAAATGATGGTCTGTCAGTGCCACGTCGGGGAAGGGAAGGAAAGCAGAAGGAAGGGCATACGTAGAGATTGTCTGACGTTCTCGACACCCCTGGAGTTTCGAAACGGCGGGGAGGGGGAGCGCGAGGGGGCGGGTCTGGCGCCCCCTCGCACATGGCCACGGAAGGCGTCGTGTGATGCCCTTCGCGGCGGACTGCGCAGTGCGAGAGGGCGCCGGGCGCGTGCCCCTCGCGCTCGGGTTTAGGGTTTAGGGTTTAGGGTGTATGGGGTGGAACCCTCGAGCTTTAGTCTCGCGCAGCGGGGCGGCGGATGGGGGCGCAGGCGTCATTTGTATGATCGGTCCAATCCCCTTCCTATGTTCACTTTGCTGGCCCAGGGAGTCGTGAACTCATTGCCGCGGCGAGCCGCTTCGATCGACACCTCGAGGTCCTCGAGGGGCTGGGGCGTCGCCATCGCGCGTGCCAATTTTTATTCGGGCCCGTCTTGATGTCGTGGTAGCCAGCAATCGCCTTGATCATGCTCAGCTTGAGGTTCCCCGCGGTCTTGGACCCCTTGTCCAGGTCCATGCTGGCATGCATCGCAGCCTGGGCATCCTCGGCCGTCACCTCTAGCCTCTGCCTGAGCGTCTTCTTACCTGCAGCCACCGCTTAGGCTAGCTTTTTCTCGCCGTCCGCGCACACGATGCAGCCTTGTTTCCGATCGCTGCCACATCCGGTTGCTCTGGCCGCCTGGGCGCATCCCCCCCGCCAGTCGGCGGCGTCGGCGCAGGGGTTGCCAGGGCCGCAGGCGCCTCGAAGTCGGCAGTGTCGATCATGCGGCTGAACTAGTCGAAGCCGCCTGCGAGGTGCATGGGCTCGACCCTCTTGGCCATGGCATTGCACTTCATGAACGGCTGGTTGCCAGTGCGCTTCCCTGCTTTCTGGCGAGAACACAACGCAGTTTTGTTCGTTGTCACAAAAACGCGGACCTGGGAACCTTCTACCCCTGCCGCCCCGCCGCTGGCGCCGCGGTTCGCCGCGGTGCCTGTGGTGGGGCGGGTTGGGTCGGTTGGGGGGTGCGTTTGGGGTGGCTCGCCTCAGGTCTTCATGGACTTCGTGTTCCTCGTCTTGTTCGTGTTCTTTGTCCACGTCTCCCTGCGGTGGGGGGAGGGTAAATATACCCCCGCGTCGCGCGCGCTGCCCCGAGGGCGCTTGTCGGCCGAACGCGAGGCTGGCGCCCTCGGTGCGCGCGTCGCGGGCCGCCGTGGCGGCTTTTGTTTCCGTATGACCGTGTCAGTATGACCGTGTCAATGAGGCCGTGTCAATGCGACCGTGCCTGGGCCGTGTCAATGCGACCGTGCCAATACGACCGTGTCAGTGCGACCGTGTCGATAAAGCCGTGTCAATGCGACCGTGCTATGGCCGTGTCAATGCGACCGTGCCAATACGACCGTGTCAGTGAGACCGGGTCAATAAGGCCGTGTCAATGTGACCGTGCCTGGGCCGTGTCAATGCGACCGTGCCAATACGACCGTGTCAGTGCGACCGTGTCGATAAAGCCGTGTCAATGCGACCGTGCTATGGCCGTGTCAATGCGACCGTGCCAGTATGACCGCGTCAATGTGACCGTGTTGATGCGGCCGTGTCAATGCGACCGTGCCTGGGCCGTGTCGACGCGACCGCGCCAGTAAGATCGCGTCAATGCGACCGCGTCTGTAAGGCCGTGTCAATGCGACCGCGTCTTTTCGATTGCGTCAACGCAACGCGTCAATTACGCCGTGTCGTTGCGACCGTGCCAATTTCTCCGCGTCACTGCGTCCGTGTCTTGTGGGGCGTGTCAAGGGGACCGTGCCGTTGCGACCATGTCAACGCGTCCGTCTCGCCGCGACCGTATCAATGCGAATGTGTAAAAGCGAATGCGTCATTGCGACCGCGTCAGCGCGACCGTGTCAGTGCGACCACGCCAGTATTACCGCGTCAATGCGACCGGTTTCCGCCGCCCAGCATGTTGACATTCGTCAGGAGACGCGCGCAATGATCGTTGTTACGCGACGGAGCCAGCAGTGCGCGCAGGCAGAAGACGCGAGCCGCATACGCCGTTGGGCGCGCCGCGGCCGCACCAGCGATGTGCGCTGCAACGCCCACGCTTTCCATGAGCCTGGCTGATTTTCTTGCGGCCCATGATGATACAAGCCGCGGCGCCGAGTGGCTTCGGCAGTGCGCAGCCCTATGCCAGGCGCCGCGAGCGGCTGCGAATGCCGCCACGACGCGCCAGTGCCTCGCGCGCAGGACAATGAGTTGGAGTCAGTGCGTGATCTTGCGTTTGCAGATCCCGGCGCACTGCAGGGCAACCCGTCCGCGGGTAAGCGCTCCTTCTTAGCCAGAGTGATGGCTGCCGCGAAGTCTCTGACAGCGGAGGAACAGCGCGCGGCTGATCCGGCCAGCGCAGGCAGCGCGGCCGGGAGCGGGTCAGCACCTGAGCCGATGTGCCACGTGGACATTCAGGCGAAGTTGCAAGGAGGCGCTCTGAAGGATGTGGGCCAGGCGTTTTGGCCGCGGTCCGCGGCGGTCGACGCCCTCGAGACGGACGTGAAGCGGCTGCAGCGTCGCGGCATCAAGCGGCCATTTGTGTTCGCTGACCTGAAGAAGTTCTTGCCGTCCTGGGCAGAATCGAAGAGCGCGAAAGAGGAGGCTGATGAGGGCCCGCCCATGTCTCGGGATCTTCGCGACCTTTCGCGCGCGCTCGGCGTAGCGAACCCAGTCAAAGCGAAGTCGCTCACTTTCACGCAATGGCATGCCGCCTTCGACAGGTGCACGCGTCTGCGCGCGGGGCGCGCACCCAAGAGCAACGGCGTCGTCCGAGCGCGTAGGTACGCCATCGCTTGCGTCTGCACGGAGCAGATGACGCTGGCTGCGACGATTCGCCACCGCCAGAACGTCATGAAGGCCCGCCTATCGCCGTTGCTCTGCGGATCCAGCGGCGCGAGTGCGATGCGCGCGCGGCGCGGCAGGTGGCCGCGCAGGCGCCCAATGCTAATCGGAGTGGCGCGCTGGGGCTCGTATACGATGAGATTTGCCGGCGCACTTGGGCAGAGAGGTCTCAGGTTGTTGGGGGGATCGCTGCCCAAGCCGCGCGCGCCACGGTAGTCGCACTCCCGCCCCAGACCACCCAGAGTGAAGCCTTTTAGGGTTTAGGGTTTCTCCCCCCAACCCCCCTATCACGGGGGGCTGTCGAAGTGTTGCGCGCAGGCGATCGCCGACGCGGCCGTGGCACTGCGCATCCACTTAAGCATGCGCGCAGGGCGCGTGACGTAGGCGGCGCTTCGGCTCGTCGCCCCGTCGAAGAGGCAGCCTTTGGCGATTTCTGCGTTGAGCTTCGCCGTTGGGCTGCCGCTGGCGCAGCATGTTCATGCGTTGCCGCTTTTGCCTTCGGCACTGGGTTGTGACACTGGGCTGTGAATGCTGGGATGCGCGCGTGCGGCCGCGGCCGTAGCAATGCGCGCCGATGCGAGCGCGCGCGCAGGGTGCATGGCGCTGGCGCGTCAGGTCGCCTCGTCGATGAGGCAGCCGTTTGCACCTTCGGCGTGGAGCTTCGCCGGTGGGCTGCCGCTGGCGCAGCAGTTCCACAGGGGTCCGGCATTTGCCTTCGGCATTGGAAAGCAGCACTGCGAAGACGCTGGCGCGGCAATCCTATGGTTTCCCGTGGGCCTGGAGCAAGTGGCTGCGCCGTGGGGCTCCTCGCTTACGGCGACGCGCACGGCAGTTACATTCGCCCGCGGCTTTGGGTTTCGCCTTTGGGGTCGCCCCCCCGCTGAAGCGATTGCAATCATCGACGCAGCCGCCTTCGGCGCGAGCTTCGGACGGCTGGAGGGGGAGCGCGAGGGGGTGGGTCTGGCACCCCCTCGCTACGATGCGCGCGCATGGCTGCGGCAGCACCTCCATGGCAGAGCCCGTGGAATGCCTTGGGGGGGCCCTCTGGCAGCGCTGGGAGAGCGCCTGGAGCTTCCCCCAAGAGCCCCGGGACCGCTTGGAACCGCCTGGGCACGCTTGGGAGCGCGCGGGAGCGCATGGGGGCGCTGCGTGGCGCCTTGGAGCGTTTGTGGGTGCTTAAGAGCGCGTGGGAATACTTGGGCGCCGGAGAGCGCCGGGGAGCGCTTAGGAGCGCTTCGGAGTTGTGGCAGCGCTGGGAACGCTGGGGAGCGCCTGCGAGCACCTGGGAGCGCGCCAGGAGCGTGCCCGGAGCGCTTGGGAGCGCCTGCGAGCGCCTGGGAGCGCCTGGAGGCGTGCTGGGAGCGCTTGGGAGCGCGTGGGAGCGCTTGGGAGCGCAGCCAGCGCGCGCCTGGGAACGCGCCTGGGGGCGTGCCGGGAGCGCCCAGGAACGCTTGGGAGCGCTTGGGAGCGCCTGGGAGCGCCTGGGGGCGTGCTGAAAGCGCTTGGGAGCATGCGGGGAGCGCCTGAAGCGCCGTGGAGCGCTTGGGAGCGTGCCGGGAGCGCTTGGGAACGCTTGGAAGCGCTTGGGAGCGACTGGGAACGCTTGGGAGCGCCTGGGGGTGCCTGGGAGCGCCTGGGAGCGCTTGGGAACGCTTGGAAGCGCCTGGGAGCGTGCAGGGAACGCTTGGAAAGTCCTGGGGAGCGCCTGGAGCGTTTGGAAGCGCTTGGAGCGCCGCATGCTGTAATTTCATAGGTTTGGAGCACCCAGGGAGCGCCGCATGCTGTATTTTCATAGGTTTGGAGCCCCAAGGGATGTAGGCCGTTGCAGCGAAGCCGCTTGCTAGGGCTGAGGGTTAAGGGTTCCTTTTCTTAGGAGAACACCACGCGGATGCACCGCGCGGCGTGCGAATTCCTCCTCAGCGGCTATCGCCGCTTCGTCGGTGCAGCGTACGCTGTATGGGCAGGCCCGCTGAGCGCTCGGCCAGGCGCCACGGGCTACGGACGTTGCACCGCCCGCGGCTTGCAGTTTAGGGTTTAGGGTTTAGGGTTTAGGGTTTAGGGTTTAGGGTTTCTCTTAGCGCAGCGGCCGACAGTCCAGGCAATGCTGCCCCCCCTTCGGCAAGCTTGATTGGGGGGGCGGTTAGCCGACCCGAGCAAGCTTGGCGAAGGGAGCAGGAGTTGCAACATCTTCCCACCCCCGGCCGCATGGCCGGCGACCTCCCAAACTAAAGCCTTTTAGGGTTTAGGGCCGCTGGCCCCTAAATTCCCAAATGGCTCCAAGCGCTCCCAGGCGCTCCCTGGCGCTCCCAGGCGCTCCCAGGCGCTCCCCGGCGCTCCCCGGCGCTCCCAGGCGCTCCCAGGCGCTCCCAGGCGCTCCCGCGGCGCTCCCCGCGCGCGCTCCTTGGCGCTCCCAGGCGCTCCCTGGCGCTCCCAGGCGCACGGCGCTCCCAAGCGCTCCCAGGCGCTCCCAAGCCCCGGCGCGCTCCCAGGCGCTCAGGCGCTCCCAGGCGCTCCCAGGCGCTCCCAGGCGCTCCCAGGCGCTCCCAGGCGCTCCCAAGAGCGCCCAGAGGCGCGCAGAGCGGCCCACACGTGTTTTTACGTGTCGGAGAAGTAGGAACCCCACCCGAGGACGAAAGGTCCCCGGGTTTAGGGTGTTGTACTCTTCGAGGATCAGGAAGAGTTTATCTTTGAATCGCGACTCCCAAGGGGCAGCCTACGGCTGCATGGGCGACCCAGTCTGGCAACCCGCTGAAGTATCTCAGAGATGCCCTGTCTCTCGTAGACGGCGACGGTGATGCGCGGTGGGGTGGGCAGAAGCACAACGAGGTGCTTGGGAATTTAGGGTTTACACTACGTATTAGGGTCTGCGGGGTGTGCTGCGGGGCCTTCGGTTCCCGAAATAGGGCCCCGCGTGAAAACACTACGTATCGGCCCATTCGGAATGAAAAACTAGCGTTTCGTGCGCGCCCGCTCGAGGATGACGCTCGTCGGCGCACCTCGAAGGC